CCAGCACAAGTGGGGCCGCGGAAGTGTGCGAAAGCGTTCCCGTGGCCCTGCCAATATGCGACGAGGGTGGAACACCATGGGGTTTTAGTCGGTGCGAGTCCGACATAACCCGTCCTTGCCCCCGCGAGGCGGGTATGCGTAGGCATATCCCCATGTAAAAAAAAAAAAAAAGGTTAGGTTAGGTTAGGTTAGGTTTTTTTTTTTTTTTTTTTTTTTTTTTTTTTTTTTTTTTCTTTTATTCTACTGCTATTAATGCAGTACCTTTCTATTTCTTTTATCATGATTTCTGTTTTCATAACTTCTATATTTTTTTTTTTGTATTTTTTTTTATTATATATATATATATATATATATTTTTTTTTTTTGTAATTTTTTTTTTTTTTTTTTTCTTTTTTGTTTTTTTGATATAACTGTTCAATTAGTTCCTCTTAACAATGCTTACTTCTATTATTATCAGAATTACATACTTCTCTTTTTTAATCTTAGTTACTAATAATACATTACTTATTTTTTTTTTTTTTTACATATCTTGTGTATTGCTAGTTACCATATCTATTAACATAATACTACTACTACTACCTAATTTAGTACTAAACCTCCTTTCTAATACATAACTTATAACTGTATCTAAATGTTATATTACACATGTTTTGCAATCTATATATTATTGTTTTTTTTTTTTTTTTACATATCTTGTGTATTGCTAGTTACCATATCTATTAACATAATACTACTACTACTACCTAATTTAGTACTAAACCTCCTTTCTAATACATAACTTATAACTGTATCTAAATGTTATATTACACATGTTTTGCAATCTATATATTATTGTATTTTTTTTTTTTATCGTAAACTATAATTCTATACAGTGCTCCTCTTAACCTATGCTTACTTCTATTATTTTCATAAACCTATACTTCTTTATATTTAATCTAATGATCATTATGCAGCTACTTACTAATGCATTATTTGTTACTATATCTACTCACCTATTACTTCACTATATTGAATTAAACGTTACTTGTTTCTATATCTACTAAATATAGTACTGCTACCACTAACATTTTACTATTTATCCTTGCTTATACATAATTATATTATACTATTCACTATAATATATGGTAAAACATTATATTATACATGTTTTACCATTATGTTACAATCAATTAATTTGTAGCAAAAGCAAAAAAAAAAAAAAAAAAAAAAACAAATATCGATTTGTATGTTACATAAGAGTTAGACAAAGTTTAGCTCTTATGCAATGTATATTACAACTTACTTCCATTTTCTTTATTTATAACTCTAACGGCAGAAAGTGCAAATTGCATGAATATAGATCGGCGATTGTCATCTTCCATCATTTTTGATATAGTGTCTTTCTTAATCGGCATATCCAAGCTGCACTCGCATTCATATCTAGTTTTGTTAAATTTTGGGCACTGTGTGATAATGTGCTCTATTGTTTGATCGCTTGCATCATCGCAAGTGCAATGTGGATTTGTCGATAACTTAAACCGATACAAATAGGATTTATTTCCCCCATGTCCAGTAAACAATTGTGTTTCAAGGTTAGTAATTTTGATATCTTTTAGTATTTTGTAAGCCATTGATACATTAGGGAAGAATATTTTTGTAGTCTCGCTGCCTGCAGATTCGATGTACTTCTGTTGCCAGATCATGAGAGTAGCATTTCTAGTGAGGTGCTTGGCATAAGATAGGGGGAACTTGTCATATATTGGACGCTGTTTATTTTTAATGGCAGCATTTTTAGCTAGTTCGTCAGCTCGTTCATTACCAGGAATACCGCAGTGCGCTTTTATCCAGAACAGTTCAATTCGTCCATTATTCTTTTCTAATGTAGTAATTATATCTTGTATCTCAGATACAATAGGGTGTAGTGATAATGGATTGCAGATACTTTCAATGGCCGATCTTGAGTCACTTAAAATATTGGCTTTAGGATACCTAACAGATTCAGAAACAAACTGTACAGCTTTTAATATTGCAATCAATTCTGCCTGGTACACACTGCAGTAACTTTCAAGGCGAGAGGTAGTTCTTTTAATTTCTTTATCGCCCTTCCAGACTGTTACTGCAAAACCTACTTTATTTTCGATTTTGCTACCATCTGTGTATATCTTTGGCCAATCGTTGTCTATCAGGGCTATATCCTCTATTGTATTTATAAGCCTATATGTTCTTTGTATTCTTTCGGCTGGGTGTGGTAGCTGGAATGGACTTATCCTGGTTTCCATTATCCTTCCAGGTAGGGCAGCAATTTGTTTTCCTCTTTTGATTTCATAAATTTCGGCATTTTCTTTTACTCTTAGTGCAAGTGGTATTATTCTGGCGAGTAGGGTACTTGAAATTAATGAGTTTGTTTTATGACCTTTGCTTATGCGTATTCCAAAAAGACGAGTTAGTCTGTTGAGTCTTGTTTGGATGTACTTTTTATTGGTCGATTCTACCCAGCAGCTTGCAGCATATAGTATAGTAGGTTCTACTACAGCTAAATATATAGTTCGTACTATTTCAGAGTTGAGCCCCCATTGTGCTCTAGCAGCTCTTGATATCATTTTGTAGAGATTGACCGCCTTTTGACTGATGTTATCTAAATGCTGTTTGAAATTAATGTTTTCGTCTATTGTGAGGCCTAATATCTTAAGGTAGTTTGAATATTTAAGCTCTATGCCTTCCAAAAGTAGCTGAGGGCGGTGATATTTTATTTGTTTGGTGATAATCATAGCCTGTGTTTTGTGCGCTGCAAACTTCATTTTATGTATCTTTCCCCATGCTGCTATTATACTTAATGTCTCGTTTATATCTCTTTCTAGTTGTTGGCCAGTTTTTGCTATTCCTATTATTACTATATCATCCGCGAATGCCTGAACGTGTGCTCTTGTGTTCTGGGTATCTTGTAATAGCGAATCTAATAATATGTTCCATAAGATAGGACCACATGTCGATCCCTGGATGCATCCTTTGTTTGTATGTTTTACCACTTCTTCCCCTGCATATCTAAGTTTTATTTTTCTTCCTGTTAAATAGCTCGTTATAAGTCTTAATACAGATTCGTCTACATCCTTGTAAGATAATTGGTTTATTATCGCTGGCCACCACGCGCTATCAAACGCACCTTCGATGTCTAGGGAGACTAATGCTACAATCTGCTTTTTCGATATACCTTCTTTTATAATTGTTAGCATATCGTATAGTGCGTCTTCTGTACTTCGCTGTGGTGTAAAGCCATATTGTCTTCTGCTCATTTTTCCCTCGGCTCCCAACTGCCATTGAAGTCTATTCACAAACAATTTTTCTAGTACCTTACCGAGTATTGGTAATAGTCCTATCGGTCTGTAAGATTTAGGTAATGTATAGTCTTCTTTGTTAGGTTTGGGTATGACCTTAACCGTTGCAGTTTTCCATTGTGCTGGGAAGTACCCAATATTGAGACACTGGTTGAGAAGCGCTATGAGTATCTCTGGGCTAGACGCAAAAGCTGTTTGGCAGATATCTGACGTTAACCCATCATCGCCGGGAGCTTTCTTCGGGCTCATATTTTTAAAAATGCTTTCAATTTCATATGCTGTAAAAGGTTGCTTAATGTTAATAATGCTATTTTCCAATTGTTTTGCTTTTTGTTTAGATCTATTTCTTAATTCAACTTGTTCATTTGTGTCTGTATCTAAATAGTCATTGGGATAAAAAGTTTCAGCAAGTAATTCTGCAGATTTTCTTTCGTTAAGGATAGTTCCGCCTATGTCTCTTAGTAATTTATCTTCTTCTCTTTTTGTGCAGATTTTTATAATTCTGTATGTCCTTTGCCATAGGTTTTCTTTCTCTTCTTTAGTACAAAGAGTTTTCCAACTGTTAGTTGCTGCTTCTTCAATCATACTTTTATATTTTGCCTTGGCTTCTTGGTATTTCTCAATGACGTATTGCCGCCTGTTCGGGTTGGCGTTTCGTATTCTTCTTCTTCTTCTTATCGTTTCTTTTTTCATTTCCGTTATTTCCTTGTTCCACCAAACTGCTGTTTTAATTAGTTTTGTTTTTGTAAGTGGTATTGCTTTATCGCATGCATATAAAATACTGTGTGTATAGCTGTCTACTATTTCATTTAGGTTTTCTACTAACTTGATCTCTCTTATTGTGTTCACGTTTATATCTCGTCTATTTAATTCTTCTTTAAATTCATGAGTAAATTTAATCCAATCTGCCTTTATAGTATTGTATTTTCTAGTACTTTTGTTGATTTGTTCAGTGTTTGTGTTTTGTAAATGGATTTCAAATGTAATAGGTCTGTGGCTTGAAAGGGTACAAAGGTGTTCATTAACTGTCCAGTTTTTAATTTTATGAAGAAATGTAGTGGAGCATGCAGTAATATCTATAATACTAGAGCATTCTTCACCTCTCCTATATACACTAAAAGTTGGTTTGGTGCCTGTATTGAGAATCTCAAAACTTAATTCAGCAAATGCCTCCATTATGGTAGTTCCTCTCCTATCATCTGCCTTGCAGCCCCACCAGATGCTATTGGCATTTGCGTCTCCTCCTAATATGTATTCATCAGCGTCCATTGTTGTTATTAACCTCTTGATTGTTGCGACATCTTCTTCAATATTTGTCTTCTCATGTAAATATATACTAATTATTCCTACTTTAGTTTGGCCTAATCTAATTGTTACTCCTACAATATCTTCACTTACTAAATTAGGATTAACAACAAAGTTAAGGTTCTGATTCAAAATGACAATTGCCGATCTTACAGGTTTAGCTATTTCTTTACTAGTTTTTTGGATCACTCGAAATTGAGAGCCTACTGAAACATTGTTCTTGTTTCCAATGTAGGGCTCTTGCATCAATATTATGGAATATCCTAGGGTCGAAGCCGTGCGCAAACACTCTTGTGTTGCTGCACGTCCTCGATCCAAATTGTACTGGATAACTTTTATGGAATTAATGCGTGTATCTGTATTTTGTGTTTGCTCGCCTTTTGCTTAGCAGTAAGTGACTGATGACCTAGCTATTTTGTCCCACTTAGACCATTCAGGACATTCATGGCTATAGGCAGGATGTGGTAAAGTTGTTTTCTGTGAGTCAATACAGTTACAGCATTTTTGTGCCTGATTTATATTTCTACATTCTCTCGTGTCGTGTGTTTCTGAACAGTAGCCACAGCGTTGCTCGTTCTTACATTCTTTGGCCGTGTGGTTAAACCCAAGACATCTGTAGCATTGTGTTACAGGCGACTGATCCACACACGACACCACTTGATATCCTAGTCTTAATTTTTGTTCTTTCAGTTTCGCCCACATTTGTGGGGTGGTCTCAACTATTACGTTTGTTAACTCCCTTATTCGACTTTTTGTTCTGCGGAGTACTTTAATGGTCTTTTGTTCATCTTCTAGGTCTAATAATAACTTAACATTTTGTTTAATGACTGCTTTAATTAATTTTGTATCGTCCAAATCTGTGGCTACTCCTATCAAACGTAACTGTGGATTCTTTGCAGGGAGGGTTGAGACTGTTAATTTTTTACAGGTGTCCCTGATAGCTGTTTTTAAGATGGCTCTATCTTCAGAAGAATCACAGTTAATTATTACTTTTTGGTTTTTTAGTTTTGTTATTTTATTTACTCTTACTCCTAATTCTATCAGATCGACGTCATTTTTCACTTGCGTAATAATATCGTGGCTAGAATTACGTGGATCTATTGACTCTAATATTACTGAATATTTTGGCTGTATAACTGCCTCGGCATATGATCGTGTTCGTGTCGCTTTATTATCTACTGTAGTTTGTGGTTTATTGTTACCTTGGCCGTATCTTTCAAAATTTTTATTTTCCAATGTTTGTGTATCAACACTTTGTCGATTATACATGTCGTTGATTTTTTCTTTAATTTCAGCGAGTGCCAACTCTGTACCTATTCCAGAATTTCCTTGACATACCATTTGTGCAGTAATACATTCTTTTAAATCCTCTATTTGGTTATTAGATCTGTTTATAAGTTCTATTAGTGGGGTAAATGCATCCCGAAGTTCTTTCTTCTGTTCTTCCATGGGTATTGTGTTAATTTGTACTTTTGTTGGTAGGTTTTGAACCATTTCCTTGGTTTGGTGTAGGTTTTCAGCAAAACCATCCATACGATGGATTAGTTCGGTATTCTGTTCTTTTATTGGTGATAATTTTTGTTCGATATCTATTGGCCTGCTTTCTAGGGTGTCTATTTTATTTATCAAGTTATTAATTTCTTCTGATATTTCTTTGATTTGTCCAGACAATAACATTAACGTCTCCGTTGTGACGGCAGGTTGTTCATGAGTAAATTCGAGGGCAGCTTTTGATGGGACTGTTGTTGTTGCTAATCCACGCAGCTCAAGTTGGATGTTTTGTATGGACTTAATTGGCTCATCCATCTCATAGTTGAGCCAGCTGCGAATTGCTTCCGCTGACTTAAACGTCTCTCGAATACTCTCATGCGCTTCCTTAAGTTTCTGATAAAACGTTGACTGTAACTCTGCTATTTGCTTGGTGTGAGCACGTTCTACCCTAACTAATTCCTTTGCAGCTCGACAACGCTCTTGCTCTAGCGCGAGACGGTGACGTGAACGAGAATCGGACAAAGATAACGCTACTTCATATAAGCCTTGTAAACATTCGTGCACTTCGATTTTGCATTCTTTTTTCATATTGCCGGCTTTTTCTAGCGCTTCTTTGCCGGATTGTAAGAATTCATTTGCTCTTTGGGTGGCCAGGTCCATTGAAATACCTGCTTTCTTGTATGCAGGCGGTAAGATACTGGACCTTTTACTATGCACACTAGCCACACTATCAGCGTCTGACCATTCATCGTCCGTACGTAGGGCCGGCTTACAAATTCCTAATACCTGCAATTCCGCCTCCATATCCATTGCTAAAGAGCTATTGTCATCGGAATCTTGTTCGGTCATTTCAAGTTTTCCAATTGGGTATTTTCCCTCAATATTTAAAGCCTCTGAATTTGGTGATGATTCCGATGGGGCCTGTGCTGTTTCGAACGTTGTGTCATCATCACCTATTTCTTTTACAGTAGTGTTAGCATTTTGCATTAAAACTTTCTTCCGCAGTGTTGCACTGCCAGCGGTAGTTCTAGCAGATTTGGTTGATGATCTTGTTTTAATAGAAGACACTGAAGACGCTCCCGATGTTGGCTTATACATTTTTTTTTCCTCTTCAGATATCCTATCTCTCAAAATTCCTATGTAATTAGATATTTTTTCCTTTTCTTTTTTTTTTTTTTGTTTTATTATGCTAGCTAAAATCTTTCGACTGATTTATTTTGGTTAGGTCCTGATAATTCAAATAAGTCCAAACTCGACTATTCTATCACCTATAGTTCATAAGTTATTTAAATTAAAAATAATTCCAATATGGCTGTCGAAAAATTTTGATGGATTTACTTTGGCTAGGTTCTGGCAATTCGAATAAGTCCAAACTCGACTATCCTATCACCTATAGTTCGTGGGTAATTTAAATTTAAAAAATTTCAATATGGCGGCCGGAAGTATTTTTTATGGCTTTACTTTGGCTAGATTCTGGTAATTCTAATAAGTCCAAACTCGACTATCCTATCACCTATAGTTCGTTTGTAATTTAAATTTAAAGTTTTTCAATATGGCGGCCAAAAATATATTTTCGTTTATAACTGTGGAACAAAAACTTTTTGAAATACTGTGTTTGGGTTCTTTGTGTTGAGGAAGTCGAGATCTATGTAATTAACCCGATTTCAGGTAATTTAGTGAAGTATTCTTTTTGAATGCAAATCTTGGTAGAAAAGTCCTTGCCAATTCTAATAAGTCCAAACACGACCTGTTTATGATTTGAATTTTACGAGTAATTTCAATTTAAAGTTTTTCAAAATGGCGTCCTATTATTCAAAATTTTTCCAGTTTCCGAACGGTAACAGATAACCTTATCGAGTTTGGGCTCTTTGGAAAGGGGTTTGATAGTTCTATTTAATGATAAAGCAAAAATTAATGATTTTTAATTATTTAAACTTTTATAAGATAAAAACACCAAAAAATTACTAAAAATTCAATAACTCCTAAGATTTTTAAGATAATTTCAATCTGAAAACGGTTCTTTATTAGGAAAAAAGAATTCTACCTATTTCCTATTTCAAAATCAGCCGCGCGCTTTTATTAAGTGGACCACGTGGGAGTGTTGTTTAAGGAAAAAATTTATTATGCCAAAATCGCTTGAAAAAATAATTTAATTTTTTTCAATTTTTATACTTTGATATATTTTTTAGTTGAAACTTTAATAAAAATGATGTGTTATCGCTTAAAAATAAAAATTATTAACTGTTCAATTTTTGAACTTTTTTTAATTTTATAATTTATGCTATAACTTTTTGAGTACTAACTTGATCCTCGTGAAACAAATTTTAGATAGTTCACAATGCGTGCCCAAGTAACCCTGCACTCCAAAATTTAGCCGCACGGCTCTGGAAAAAAATTTGGTTGCCACGTGGTTTTTACTTTTTTGGTTGTATCTCAGCGGTTTCTCAGCAGAAAAATCTGAAACTTATAGGAGTAGACAGAGCAATAGAAGACCTTTAAAATGACCTATAAATAAGTATAGGTTATAGATCATCTACTTGCAGCGTATTCACTTTTATAGTTAAAATTTTAACTTACACGTGGTTTCTTTGTCTTTGACCTCCAGTTTTCCAGAAATTTCGAAGACACGCTGACACCAAACACTTAACAAGTATCACCAACGCAACAATGATCACTTAAGGCACAATTACTGAAAATTTCACAAGGATACGACTACTTTTGCCTATTTTTCGAATTTTTTAACGACGGAGCGCCTTCAAAACGATGTTTACGCGACAGCGGTAAGCACGGAACTGGGGTTAGGTTAGGTTAGGTTAGGTTAGGTTAGGTTAGGTTAGGTTAGGTTAGGTTAGGTTAGGTTAGGTTAGGTTAGGTTAGGTTAGGTTAGGTTAGGTTAGGTTAGGTTAGGTTAGGTTAGGTTAGGTTAGGTTAGGTTAGGTTAGGTTAGGTTAGGTTAGGTTAGGTTAGGTTAGGTTAGGTTAGGTTAGGTTAGGTTAGGTTAGGTTAGGTTAGGTTAGGTTAGGTTAGGTTAGGTTAGGTTAGGTTAGGTTAGGTTAGGTTAGGTTAGGTTAGGTTAGGTTAGGTTAGGTTAGGTTAGGTTAGGTTAGGTTAGGTTAGGTTAGGTTAGGTTAGGTTAGGTTAGGTTAGGTTAGGTTAGGTTAGGTTAGGTTAGGTTAGGTTAGGTTAGGTTAGGTTAGGTTAGGTTAGGTTAGGTTAGGTTAGGTTAGGTTAGGTTAGGTTAGGTTAGGTTAGGTTAGGTTAGGTTAGGTTAGGTTAGGTTAGGTTAGGTTAGGTTAGGTTAGGTTAGGTTAGGTTAGGTTAGGTTAGGTTAGGTTAGGTTAGGTTAGGTTAGGTTAGGTTAGGTTAGGTTAGGTTAGGTTAGGTTAGGTTAGGTTAGGTTAGGTTAGGTTAGGTTAGGTTAGGTTAGGTTAGGTTAGGTTAGGTTAGGTTAGGTTAGGTTAGGTTAGGTTAGGTTAGGTTAGGTTAGGTTAGGTTAGGTTAGGTTAGGTTAGGTTAGGTTAGGTTAGGTTAGGTTAGGTTTTTTTTTTTTTTTTTTTTTTTTTTTGTGGTTGTTTTTATCCAATTTGAAATTGCTAACGGTATACAATTTCAAAGTGGAGAAGCCTGTGTGATTTGTCTTTGACACCTAGACTTTTATATTAGAATTCTAGCTGCTGGAATTGGGTTTGTTAAATTCTTTTAACGAATTAATTATACAATGAATGAGTTTTGTAAAGGAGGCAGTTGTACTTTCTTTGGATATTACTTCTATAATATTATACGGATCTACTTTAAACATACTTGATATTAGTTCATGATTCTGTCTTATTGTTCCGTATTTTGGGCATTTTTTAATAAGATGTTCTATTGATTGTATCGAGGAATTGTCACAAGGGCAGCGATCGTTACTTACTATTTTGAATCTGTATAAATATTCTTTATGAAAGCCATGATTTGTAAAGATTTGAGTTAATTGAAAATTGGGTTTAAGACACTTGATTGTTTTTTGTAAAATTTCAAATGTGGGACACCATCTCTTTGTATGTCTGCAATTGTTTATTTCCATATATAAGTCATTTGCGGCTTGTTGACTAATTGTTTGACATTTCGTCTTTATATAACTTAGGGGAAACATTGAATATACTATTTTGTTGTGACTCATTGCTGCAGATTTTGCTGCTACGTCTGCTTCTTCATTTCCTATGATGCCCGCATGTCCTTTTACCCAAACGAAATCTACGGCGTAATTAAGAGATTTAGCTTTATATATTGTATCTTGAATTTCGTTTGCAAGTCTGTTTCTACTGTATCGATTATTTAGCTCTATTAATCCCGATTGACTGTCTGATAAAATGACTGTTTTGCTTATTTTATTTGAATAGATCCAATGGCAAGCCTTATTGATTGCTAATAATTCTGCTTGAAATATTGAGCAACATTTGTGTAATTTAAATTTTTTGACTATTTTTCTCCCATCTGGGCTATGGACTACAAATGCTGCTCCAACATTTCCATCAGTTTTGCTACCATCAGTGTATATTTGGTAAATGTCTGGAGGTACATGTTCTACTATATGTTCATATTTTGAAGCTATATTGAAATTTATTTTAACTCTATTAGCTGGATGAATAATTGTTGAAGGTTGAGCTGGTCCGTCAAGTGTGATATCTTGAGGTAAAAATTTTGATATTCCTGTTATTCTTGTACTTTCGATTTCAGCAGTTTCTAAAATTTTTGCAGGCAAGGGTATTAGGTTAGCTAGTGAAATGGACGCTGCTGTACTAAGGGTTCGGAATCCGCGTACTATTTTTATGGCAAAACCTCTTTGTAGCGACAGAAGTTTTTTCCGGACACATTCAAATTTTATTGCATCGTGCCATATGCTAGAAGCATAGCAGATGATTGGCTCTATTACTTGTTTGTATATTGTGTCTATATTATCTCCATGTAAACCCCACGTAGGTCTGACAAATCTAATGAGTTTTTGATATATATTTTGCGCTTTATCAATGACGGATTTAATATGTTGAGTGAAATTCAGTTTTTTATCAATGATAATGCCAAGGAGCTTTATTGTATTTTTAAAATGTACAGGATGGTTATTAATTTTTATTATGCTTTTCTCAGCTTTTCTAGTGAATGCTATTGCCTGCGTCTTTTGAGGTCCGAATGTCAATTTTGTGTTGAATCCCCAGTTGGTGATCATCTCTAAAGCTTGGTTGGTTTTGTTCTGTAGCACTTCTAAATTTTTGTCATGAACAATGAGCGTCACATCATCCGCGAATGCTTGTATGTGACACCCTCCTGGTAGTTTACATTCTAAAAGTTCATCCAAGATCAGATTCCAACAAGTTGGTCCACAAACTGATCCTTGAATGCAGCCGCGTGTGAGTGTCTTTGTAGCTGAGCTATCTGCAAAATCAATCTGCGCTTTCCTATCTTGAACATAGCTAAGCATTATATCGTATAAATTTTTAGGACAATTGATTTTGTGCAGTCTTTTGAAGATTAATGGCCACCAAGCATTGTTGAACGCCGCTTGTATGTCCAACGAGATAGCTATGACATGTTCATTGTTTGATTTGGATTGTTTAACTGTATCTATTACTTTCTTTAAGGCATGTACGGTACTAGTTTGTTCTTTAAATCCATATTGGTTATTGCATGCAAAATTATTACTGTTAATGTGGTGTGTGATTCTTTGAATTATCAATTTTTCCAATAGCTTTCCAAAAACGTTTATTAATCCTATAGGTCGGTAAGCGGCAGTGTCGTAGTAGTCAGATTTGTTTGGTTTTGGTATTATTTTGATGTATGCTTTCTTCCATATTTTCGGGAAATATTTTAGCTCCAAACATCTGTTCATTATTGAAGTGACCATTGAAGGATACAATTTCGCAAACATTAGGCAAATGTCTGACGTTAGATGATCGGGCCCTGGTGACTTGTTAGGATTCATAACTTTAAGGCAGTCCAAGATCTCTTCAGTGGTAAATAACGGGTCGGAAGTTGTCTCTGGAGAGATTTCCATGAGTAACCTTGCTTCACGCTGTTGTTCTGTCACATCAGGTGTATCATCGGGGAAGTATTCATTTAGAAATACATTTGCCGCCTCGGTAGTATTTACAGTGTAACAACCGTTTTTTAATTTTACTGTCGATGGGGTTAGGTTAGGTTAGGTTAGGTTAGGTTAGGTTAGGTTAGGTTAGGTTAGGTTAGGTTAGGTTAGGTTAGGTTAGGTTAGGTTAGGTTAGGTTAGGTTAGGTTAGGTTAGGTTAGGTTAGGTTAGGTTAGGTTAGGTTAGGTTAGGTTAGGTTAGGTTAGGTTAGGTTAGGTTAGGTTAGGTTAGGTTAGGTTAGGTTAGGTTAGGTTAGGTTAGGTTAGGTTAGGTTAGGTTAGGTTAGGTTAGGTTAGGTTAGGTTAGGTTAGGTTAGGTTAGGTTAGGTTAGGTTAGGTTAGGTTAGGTTAGGTTAGGTTAGGTTAGGTTAGGTTAGGTTAGGTTAGGTTAGGTTAGGTTAGGTTAGGTTAGGTTAGGTTAGGTTAGGTTAGGTTAGGTTAGGTTAGGTTAGGTTAGGTTAGGTTAGGTTAGGTTAGGTTAGGTTAGGTTAGGTTAGGTTAGGTTAGGTTAGGTTAGGTTAGGTTAGGTTAGGTTAGGTTAGGTTAGGTTAGGTTAGGTTAGGTTAGGTTAGGTTAGGTTAGGTTAGGTTAGGTTAGGTTAGGTTAGGTTAGGTTAGGTTAGGTTAGGTTAGGTTAGGTTAGGTTAGGTTAGGTTAGGTTAGGTTAGGTTAGGTTAGGTTAGGTTAGGTTAGGTTAGGTTAGGTTAGGTTAGGTTAGGTTAGGTTAGGTTAGGTTAGGTTAGGTTAGGTTAGGTTAGGTTAGGTTAGGTTAGGTTAGGTTAGGTTAGGTTAGGTTAGGTTAGGTTAGGTTAGGTTAGGTTAGGTTAGGTTAGGTTAGGTTAGGTTAGGTTAGGTTAGGTTAGGTTAGGTTAGGTTAGGTTAGGTTAGGTTAGGTTAGGTTAGGTTAGGTTAGGTTAGGTTAGGTTAGGTTAGGTTAGGTTAGGTTAGGTTAGGTTAGGTTAGGTTAGGTTAGGTTAGGTTAGGTTAGGTTAGGTTAGGTTAGGTTAGGTTAGGTTAGGTTAGGTTAGGTTAGGTTAGGTTAGGTTAGGTTAGGTTAGGTTAGGTTAGGTTAGGTTAGGTTAGGTTAGGTTAGGTTAGGTTAGGTTAGGTTAGGTTAGGTTAGGTTAGGTTAGGTTAGGTTAGGTTAGGTTAGGTTAGGTTAGGTTAGGTTAGGTTAGGTTAGGTTAGGTTAGGTTAGGTTAGGTTAGGTTAGGTTAGGTTAGGTTAGGTTAGGTTAGGTTAGGTTAGGTTAGGTTAGGTTAGGTTAGGTTAGGTTAGGTTAGGTTAGGTTAGGTTAGGTTAGGTTAGGTTAGGTTAGGTTAGGTTAGGTTAGGTTAGGTTAGGTTAGGTTAGGTTAGGTTAGGTTAGGTTAGGTTAGGTTAGGTTAGGTTAGGTTAGGTTAGGTTAGGTTAGGTTAGGTTAGGTTAGGTTAGGTTAGGTTAGGTTAGGTTAGGTTAGGTTAGGTTAGGTTAGGTTAGGTTAGGTTAGGTTAGGTTAGGTTAGGTTAGGTTAGGTTAGGTTAGGTTAGGTTAGGTTAGGTTAGGTTAGGTTAGGTTAGGTTAGGTTAGGTTAGGTTAGGTTAGGTTAGGTTAGGTTAGGTTAGGTTAGGTTAGGTTAGGTTAGGTTAGGTTAGGTTAGGTTAGGTTAGGTTAGGTTAGGTTAGGTTAGGTTAGGTTAGGTTAGGTTAGGTTAGGTTAGGTTAGGTTAGGTTAGGTTAGGTTAGGTTAGGTTAGGTTAGGTTAGGTTAGGTTAGGTTAGGTTAGGTTAGGTTAGGTTAGGTTAGGTTAGGTTAGGTTAGGTTAGGTTAGGTTAGGTTAGGTTAGGTTAGGTTAGGTTAGGTTAGGTTAGGTTAGGTTAGGTTAGGTTAGGTTAGGTTAGGTTAGGTTAGGTTAGGTTAGGTTAGGTTAGGTTAGGTTAGGTTAGGTTAGGTTAGGTTAGGTTAGGTTAGGTTAGGTTAGGTTAGGTTAGGTTAGGTTAGGTTAGGTTAGGTTAGGTTAGGTTAGGTTAGGTTAGGTTAGGTTAGGTTAGGTTAGGTTAGGTTAGGTTAGGTTAGGTTAGGTTAGGTTAGGTTAGGTTAGGTTAGGTTAGGTTAGGTTAGGTTAGGTTAGGTTAGGTTAGGTTAGGTTAGGTTAGGTTAGGTTAGGTTAGGTTAGGTTAGGTTAGGTTAGGTTAGGTTAGGTTAGGTTAGGTTAGGTTAGGTTAGGTTAGGTTAGGTTAGGTTAGGTTAGGTTAGGTTAGGTTAGGTTAGGTTAGGTTAGGTTAGGTTAGGTTAGGTTAGGTTAGGTTAGGTTAGGTTAGGTTAGGTTAGGTTAGGTTAGGTTAGGTTAGGTTAGGTTAGGTTAGGTTAGGTTAGGTTAGGTTAGGTTAGGTTAGGTTAGGTTAGGTTAGGTTAGGTTAGGTTAGGTTAGGTTAGGTTAGGTTAGGTTAGGTTAGGTTAGGTTAGGTTAGGTTAGGTTAGGTTAGGTTAGGTTAGGTTAGGTTAGGTTAGGTTAGGTTAGGTTAGGTTAGGTTAGGTTAGGTTAGGTTAGGTTAGGTTAGGTTAGGTTAGGTTAGGTTAGGTTAGGTTAGGTTAGGTTAGGTTAGGTTAGGTTAGGTTAGGTTAGGTTAGGTTAGGTTAGGTTAGGTTAGGTTAGGTTAGGTTAGGTTAGGTTAGGTTAGGTTAGGTTAGGTTAGGTTAGGTTAGGTTAGGTTAGGTTAGGTTAGGTTAGGTTAGGTTAGGTTAGGTTAGGTTAGGTTAGGTTAGGTTAGGTTAGGTTAGGTTAGGTTAGGTTAGGTTA